CAGAGTCTAAAAACACATCTTCTCTCTGTTACCGAATAGTTGGATTTTTCGACGTCTCTGCACTGCGCATGTCTGCGTATAGACCGGTGCCGTCAGCTCAGGAGCTTTTAATGAAAATGTTTGAAATGTGTTGTCTTATATTTTCATGTGGATAAAATTAATTTATCGCAAGAGTTCAAACGCGTGAATTTGAGTGAAAATGCCGTCAGTGGGCCTAATATAACGCAGTACAAATGTACCGTGTTTATGTCGCGTAGCGTGTTTTGTTCATGTACTTTGGCATAAAGAATTCATTTCATGTGAGATGGCAGCAGGAAGGTTTATATGCAGTAGCTATGTTTTCGACAGCGGGCACGTTCGTCACAGCCAGAAATAAATATTTCGTTTTATTTCATGTATTTCAAACACGGTGCATTCCGTGGGGTCTCTCCACAGGGAAGCCTCTGCTGTGGACGCCGTTCATCCAGCGCCCCTTACATAAGCGAAAAGGCGGCCAGGTGCGCTTCTCCAACGACCAGACCATCGAGCTGGAGAAGAAGTTTGAGACGCAGAAGTACCTGTCACCTCCGGAGAGGAAACGCCTGGCCAAGATGCTGCAGCTCAGCGAGAGACAGGTGAGCGGAGCCTCTGTGGCTCACACACGTGCCGTAGTGGCCTGACTCTGTTTGGAAGGATCTCTGGAGGATCGGCCGCAATCTTCGATGAAACACTTTTATACATTTATTTATTCCGTTTTTGGAATGTAGCATAATGCTAGATTTAGCTACTTTATTACCAGAAAGCTATTTACTGACTGCGGATGGTTGAAATTTGTAACGAATTACTGATGAGTTTGTCATATTTGTGCAGCGTGCTGATTTGATTCAATGGGGCCTTGATCCAAAATGAATAAACCGCTTCCACATGAACGTAGCGGACCAACCGAATTTTAAATTGACGCTAAATCTTACGGACGAGTTTGCGCACAAGAAACATCCTTTCAGAGTTTTAATATTTAAAGATTTAAATTCATTTCTTTCTTCTTTCTTTTTTTGAACATTTCCTTTCAGGTTAAAACCTGGTTCCAAAATCGACGTGCGAAGTGGCGCAGACTAAAACAGGTGAGCAGCGGTGACTGATGTCGCCCTACCTTCCTTTCACTCCTTCATATAAAATACACTCGTACCGTCTCCTAACCCACGGGGTTCGCTTTCACCAGGAGAATCCTAAGAGGGAGGTGGAGGATAACAGTTCCAGAGGTAAGAAAGGAGACGAGATGATAGAAGCTGCCGGGATCCAGAACCAGGAGCAGAGGCAGCCAGGCTCGGCCCCCGAGTTGGCGCAAGCGGGACACTGTGCGTCCTCACAGCAGGCCCACACAGAGCTGGACTCTGACGTGTCAGACGACACGGACCAGGAACTGGACATAGAGGACGACGAGGACTTCACACTAAACCCCCAGTTCTGAAACACAGGCTCCATAAAGATCTGCCTCGGACACTGAAGCTCTCAAGCTCTCGACGGTCGGGTCGCTGTAACTCCTTCCTCCTCCTCCTCCTCCTCCTCCTCCAGCCTGGTGACTTGCAGACTGATAGACTGGTTCCTGATGTAATACTAAGACAAGTCAGCCCCTCAAACCCGAGTGCCTTTCATCAGAACTGTCTTCTTTGTTGAACCTGTGTGCATATGCGTAATGTTCTGTAACTGTGTGTGTGTGTGTGAGTGTGTGAGTTTGTGTGTGTGAGTGTGTGTGAGAGATGTTCTTCAGATGAATAGTATGCCTGTAGATCAGTTTCTCTGTACTGTAGCATATACGTGTTTTTATAGCGTGTTTTTTAGTTCTTTTTGTTTTGTTTTGCGTGTGTGTGTGTCGGCGTGTGTGTCGGCGTGTGTGTGTGTCGGCGTGTTTTTTTATGTGACATTTTATTAAATAATCAATGTAGCGCAAATTCAGTTTTGTCTGATGTCTAATAAACTATTTTCTGACAATCAATCCAAACGTTTCGATGCAGCTCAGCTGGTCTGCGAACTCTTTTCTCTGCTATGTGAAAATGAAACATTGTAAATGAAGCATTTCTCCACATCCAGATGAACAAGATCCACTTTCTGGAGTTTCCTCCTGCGGGTGAGAATAAACGAAGACATACAATCGAGCAACGTGTGAAAGATCCGTCAAGAAGCAGGAAGAATTATAATCAGTCCAAATAATCACAGAAACCCCAAAACAACAAGAACCAAAGCGCTCCGGTCAGTTTCAAACTCACTCATTCAGGGATATTCGGACCAAAAGTACATTTAATAAAGAATCACTGCGAGTAAAAGTGCGACCAACAGGAAACCTGTCTGTCTAAATGCTGAGCTGCAGAATCATAAAATAAACGTCATACAGACGTCATATTGTGTCTGTTACACATTAAGCCTGAAATATATTTTTATATCCAACGTGGTAGTTTTTGTGTAGCTGGAGATCTGAGACGTTTCTCCTTTTGTTTGTTTATTTTCACATATTCTTTTTTCATTGGTTAAAGGTTTGTCTCATAAAACAGCAGCAGTCATATTACAGGACATTATGATGTGTGGCTGTGCTGGTTATAACCACGAGCTCTAATTCTTTTAGTGTGGAAATCAGTGGCGTTTAAAACAGAAGAAAAGCAGACTGTAGATGAACCAACACATGATCAATATAAAAATAGTGCATTTCAAATCTGACTTGAACAAAAGGAGCTGCCTTCAGTAATATTTTATTAACATTGGTTTAATGTTGCTGTTACATTCATGGAAAATCAGAATTTAAATTTAAATTTTATTTGTCACATACACAGTATGATATGCAGTGAAATGCTTATACAACTGCTCGTGACCTAAAGAAAAAAGAAAAGGCTATGAATAAGATAGGAAATAAATATGAAAATTAAAAAGGGTAAATTTAACTAGG